AAATCAATAATATCTGTATGCTACCGCACAATTTGCGCGTGATGCATAATCTATCATCATTTTATAAACTACTGCATAATTGTTACTATCAAAATCAATTTGTATGTTTTGCTCAGGATACCTTCTGTTATTTAGCTGGATATATGCATTCTTTATAACACAATGATCAAAGAGTGCGTTGTTAGAAAGTTGTGAATCATAATTTTGGCAGAATACAAAAATGTGTTTTAAGGGGGTTGTAGCATTAAATTGACCACCAGCGGCTCCTAAATAATCGCTACGTTCATTGAATCTATCATTCGACTTTTCATTTTGCCTAGTGTCAATACTCCAGAAGAACATCATCTTTTCTTTTGAGCTTCGTTTATATGTTGGCAATCCTTTTAGAATTAGAAATGTGGCAATTCTAGGATAACTATAGCCCTCAATCCCAATTCTATAAGATACTTGATTAATTGATATTTTATCATCTTTGAAGTTACTATTGCTACCATCCTCTTTCGTTAAAGCACCTTCGATGTAAAGACAGTTGTATGATTGTAGTAGAAACTGATATTGATTCTGAACAATAATCTTATTATTAGTATTAAATTAGTATTCTTTTTTAAAGATTATTTAATATTTTTCGACCTCAAGTGCAATCGTACTGATATTTCTTAAATCACCCTTGAGATATGATCCATTGATTATACTGCAGTGAACAAGTATTGCATTAACAGACATTGAATTTACTATATTTGTGCTTTCATGTTATCCAATTAACACCTTCCAACACTCCATCATCAAAGCCTAACTGATCATGCAAACTGTTGGGTTCGTTAAAATTAATTTTTTCACTCAGGATCATGAAAGTTATAACGCATTTCAGAATATTGGTGTTCGCTTTTATATCAATCGAGTCCTCAATTCAGAACGCCTTGTTATTATAGTTATTCATGTTCTCTATCTCATAGCATCCGGTCGGAATAGTTATAGGGATTACTATCCCATGTTTCCCAACATAAAATTTATTTGTTGTCTCCTCGACATTCGAGATAGAGTGATGCATATCCAGTCCCACCAATGTTAGTTCATGAAATTTGTTTGTATCCAATTTTATTGCTGGCGTAAAATTCGTGTATATATCACTTTTTCTACCGGTAATAAGTATGCGTCCATTTTTTTAACAAAAACCATTCAATAGTTTAACATCATGATCATTAAATAAATTTCGTTTATAAAATTCACGAGTCAGTGCCTGTAATTCATTAAAGACTCCTGTGTTTCCAGCATTCGGAGAGCCAAATAAAGTGATGTCTTGCAACAATATCATTAACGTTACAAGGTATGACTACTATTCCTGATCCTGAAACACCTGAATCAGTATCTGGTCTTGATTCCGAAGTTTGATCCCTTGACTATGCGATACTTGCAGCTTTAATTCTGGCAACTTCATAACGCGCCTTTCTTTCTGCATCGCTTTATAGAATGGCTTGTTGATTTTTTTATACCTTTCCCCTTTGTTTGCTTCTATTGTTCTATTTGGCTTAATATTAGCCTTAGTCTGTCTCAAAATTGTTAGGTAATTTCCACATCATTTTCTTCATAGCTTCAGGGGATTGTTTTGTTTCAAGCTCCCATAACCCAACAGTTCCTTCAAAAACTTCATTACCAGTCCCTTAATCATAATTACCTTAATTATTATTTAATTACCTTAATCATAAATGCCTAAATTCATTACCTTGGATGCTGACCATTGTATCTCCTAGCGTAACGTTTTTTCCTTCAAATTTTATGCCATAAGCTTTGTCATACTCATGCAGATCCAGGTTTGAAGGCTAGACTTAAAAAAAGGTTTAGCTTTTGAACCAACTAGTCCTTTGGAGTCGTATTCTTCTGAGTCTGAAGGATCTATTGCCAATCTTTCAGCAGGTTTGATTGTTAATATCTCTGTGAGAGAATCTGGGAAGCATCTTTCAGAGCTAACCAGTTTCTTCTTCAATTTTGGTGAGGGGTTCAATTAGAGGCTTATATACTTTTTAGCATCATTGTAAAAATCTTATTCCCCAACTTTTTCTTGTGTGAATTGTTTTCTTGAGTCTCTCAAATTATATTATTAATTAAAATTTGATCAAATCTTGTTCTGTTTTTAAATCAATTAACACAATTTTATTAAGTAAAATATCTCAAACAACTTGAACTCAATGTCTGCTTATTTTGAACTCAGTATGTGTTTATTTTGAACTTAATATGCGTTTATCATAATGTCAGTTCAACTTGTTGTTAGTTCAGCTTCTGGAATCCAAAATGGGACAGCTAATCCCTTCCATTTAACTAACAATTTCCATTTACTATTTTTCAAAATTTTATCAATTTCATAAACATCGCTACTATATTTTGATGATGCTTCATCGTAAAAACTCCTTATTACTTCTTCACTGCTCATATCTTTCAGCCTATAAGTTACTGGTTTCGTCGTCTCTAATAGTTTAGAGATCAGAAATAACTTACGTGTGAAATTAGGGATATATCCTTTATTGAAATCCTTACGTTTTCTACTAATTCTGACATGATCTTCAACCTTCAATTTAGGCTTTCTTACATCCGTCTTTATCTCGGGTAATTAATTTGCATAGACTATTTTACTGTTCTGTTCAATTGAAGCTACACGAGGAGTTATTGTTATTAATTTATGACAACTTTTGTTATAATTAGCAACTAAATCAGGTAAAATATCTATCACTTTTTTGTCTCGACGTAAGTGAAATATTTCCACATTTTTGTCTAGAGAGTTCGGTTAAATCTCTCAACAACTTGATCTTTATTTCATTTTCAGTTGCAAACCATTTAATTTCAAACTTTTTGAATAACTCTTGTGTTGGCTTGTTATTGAATTCTAGACCTTTGTATGTTTGAATTTTTGAAGGTAATTCTTAAGTGAAAACCTTTTAATATCGACGTTATTTCAACGTTGAAATAAGGTTATTTTACGTCCCTTCCACTGTTGTTCAGATTTCGACGTTGATATGACGTTTAATTTGGTTGTTCAACATTTCAACCTTTAATCAACCAATAATCAACGTTGTTTCAACGTCAGATGCCTGCTGGGTTAACAGCATGGAACTAATGTTATCACACCAATATTGAATTATATACAAATATATAAATATATATAAATGTACGATTAATGACCATTAGCGGCTCCTAAATAATCGCTACGTTCATTGAATCCATCATTCGACTTTTCATTTTTCCTAGTGTCAATACTTCTGAAGAACATCATCTTTTCTTTTGAGCTTCGTTTATATGTTGGCAATCCTTTCAGAGATGTGGTAAATCTAGAATAACTATAGCCCTCAATTTCCTCATTCCCAATTCTATAAGATACTTGATCGAATAAAAACATCAGACCGTTATTGATAATAGATATTTTATCATCTTTGAAATTATTATTGCTACCATCTTCTTTCGTTAAAGCACCTTCGATGCTGTCAGACAGGCAGCTATAAAGCACCATCAGACAGCTGTCCTTCGAAAGACAGCTGTCTGATGGTAGTAGAAACTGATATTAATTCTGAATAATAATCTTATTATTAGTATTATATTAGTAATCTTTTTTTAAGATGATTTAATATTTTTCGACTTCAAGTGCAATCGTACTTATATTTCTTCACCTCTGGTATTCAAAAGATTTCTATTTTGATCTGTTAACGTAATTCGAATATTATAAATTAAAGGCTAAACTAAGTTAGATAAATTGGTTGACTAGAATTCTCTACAATTTTACATCCGGGGGGAACGTTAGGAAAAATCGAAAAGACAATTGGCCAGCCAAGAAACCTCGTGAAAGCACATAAAAATATTTGCGAATGTCGGGCCAAGCGGAAGTCCCATGCCTAAACCGTCAATCTGTCTATAAAACTTGCCAGCATATATGAAAAACGAGTTAAGAACTGATAATTCTAAAAGTGATTTGAAAAATTTACGATTTAAACCGATCACAAGATCATTAATTTCTTTAAACAGTGAATTTAGGCAAATTTCAATTGTTTCGTGAAGGGTTATATTGGTAAACAAATTTTCTAAGTCAAATGAGGCCATAGTTAAATCCTGAACGTCGGTAAAATTCTTCAAGCGATCCACGAACGTATAAGAATTGTCAACAGTATACTGATTAGTCGTAAGACAGTTTAAAACCGGTACCAGAAATTTAGCAAGTTTAAAACTAGGAGTATTATACGCGGCAAAAATTGGTCGAAATTGAAACTTAGAGGCAAAATCAGGCTTGTGAATTTTAGGTAAGCCATATATAAGCCCGTATGCTAAATAGGGCACTAGCACTACGAAGTAGCACTATGCACTACGAAGTGTCCTGTTGGTATGCTAAATACGTCACAGACACTTAGCACTTCGAAGTGGCTCTACAATGTTTAGTGTCGCTTAGTGTCGCACTACTGATTGGTATGCAGAAAGACTTTGAAGTGCTACTTCGCTGTTAGAGTACTTTTATAATGCCGCACTACGCTATGAGTCTATTGAAGAATGGTTGTTAAGTACTCAAATAATTAATTATTCCCTAAGTAATTCTCATTCTTTGCAGAAGATTGATGTAAAATGTCTAATTGTGATGGTAATGGGACTAGTGAAAATTGTGATGGTGAGCTGAAATTCGCAATGAGTCTGCGCACCTTTCCCATCATATATTCAAAGTCCACGCTTACCAAAGACATCGAACAAAAGAGAGAAGCGTGGAAAGTTCTTGCAGAAGAATTCAAAATGACTCCGGAAAAAAACAAAAAAGAAAATTCAAAACATGGTATCAAAAACAAGAAAAGTATTTTTTACTTCTACGCTGTTCATCTGTTTCGCCAAGGAAAATGTCAGCCATAAGAATAACATGTTGTTCACTGAAGCGGTACACTTTTTTATATTCATGGCATGCTGCTCCTGAGGTTTTTACGCGATGATGCCTTTGCTGTATTTTATACTAATATAGTATAAATAAGCCGATGATGGTGCAGGGCATCCTTGATCTTGAGCACCGCTATCCTGCCGTCATCAACTCTACGCGCGGCAAGGACAGGGGAACCTTCATCGCCTTCAACGGCCACGATAGCCAAACACGAGAGAACATCATCAACAACCTCAAGAAAAAAGGTGCGTGCCAGAAATATAAAGCGCAGTTGTCAACAGCGAGGGCTCATTTAGCGTCTCTCTTCGATGTTTTTAACGCTGAGAAAATAGTTTTTAACTCTTTCATACTCTCCTGCGACCGTTTTAATTTCAGGATGAAGCCGAAAGTTCGCAAGGTGCAATGCCATTCCTGATAATCAGAGGTGCAATTATTGCTGGAATAGTTTAGACGATTATCCCTTCTCAGATAATTATGCTTGCTCATTCAATGGAAACTTTCGCTCATCAACTGGTCGTAATGCAACAGCCGGGCCTTTTATATTAATCGTATATAAATAACCGGCCCTAATCTACTGATCGTATATCAACAACCGGCCTTTTCTACTGGTCGTATATCAACAACCGGGCCTTTTCTACTGATCGTATATCAACAACAGGGCCTTTTCTACTGATCGTATATCAACAACAGGGACCTTTCTACAGATCGTATATCAACAACAGGGCCTTTTCTACTGGTCGTATATCAACAACCGGGCCTTTTCTACTGATCGTATATCAACAACAGGGCCTTTTATACTGATCGCATATCAACAACAGGGCCTTTTATACTGATCGCATATCAAAAACAGGGCCGATTAAACTAATCGCATACCTATAAACAACCAGCCCAATTCCACTGATCGTATATCAACAACCGGCTTTTCTACTGGTCGTATATCAACAACCGGGCCTTTTCTACTGATCGCACATCAACAATTGGCTCTATTATACTGGTCGTAAATCAACTACCGGCTCTATTCTACTAGTCGTATTTCAACAACAGGCCTTTTCTACTGGCCGTATATCAACAACCGGGCCTTTTCTACTTATCGTATATATACACAACCTGCCCTAATCTACTGGTCTTATATCAGCAACCGGCTTTTCTACTGGTCGTACATCAACAACCGGCTCTATTCTACTGATCGTATATCAACAACAGGGTCTTTTCTACTGATCGTATACGTATAAACAACCGGCCTATTATACTGATCGTGTAGCAAAAACTTGCTCTATTCCATTAATCGTATATCAACTAGCCGCACTATTATACTGATCGTAGATCGAAAACTTGCACTGTTCTACTAACCGTATATCAACAACCGGCCCTATTCTACCAATCGTGTATCAACAAGCCGCACTGTTCTACTAATCGTATATAATCAAGCCGCACTATTCAATAGATGATAAGATGAATAATTTTCTGCTTTCAGGCGTAAATAAAAATAAATAAATTGTATGAAAAATCTGTGGATTACGAAATAGATAACATAGCAGATGGTAATAACATCCATCTCACTAGTCCGTCAATTTACTGGACCACCGTGCCAAGTTCTTCAGGAGTTATTGTTAGAATTTCATCCCCAGTGCTTTAAATTAAAAAAATCATTCTCCAAATCATCTGTAAGGATCTGGTCTGATGAGCTCCAAATGATAGGAAGTAGAGGCTTGTTTTGCCGTCATATTTCGAGTTGGAGTTCGTATCTGTAAGCCCATTTTTACTGTGTTGTTCAGGGTAGGCGCAACTTGAATATTATTTTGTTCGTAAAAATAATATAAGCTCATGAACTGAACACTTGGGGAGCAGAGGAAAAGGTCAAGATTTGCGTTACCGAACGCCTATGATGTCCCTCAGAGCTGAGGAATTGGCAGCCAGTTTGCCGAGTCTGTAGAATCAGCATTTCTATACTATAGGAATCTGGGTTTATGTCAGTCAGCCAATTTCTTTTATATATTCAAATATAAAGGAGCTTGACCGAACTTGATCTAACCTTCCCTAACTCTTTCGATTTATGTTCTAACTCTAACGTCCGATTTTCTGTATTAGCAATGAATTGCTGATTCTAAAGATTCGGCAAGCTGGCTGCCGTTTTAATAGAATTCAGCAGTTTCGGCACGACAAACACATCTGTCGAAAATTTGTTTAATGGCGAAGTTCGTGAACAGATTCGGGGCAAAACTAGTTCTTGTTTTTCATCCAGCTATACCGACATCGTATTTCCTATCGTAGATTAAGCGATAACATTGATTTCGAATTCCTCAAATAGCGTCTAAACTTTTTGCTTCAAGTTCAACTGGTCATCGCTGTATAGACCCAGCCAAAATTAGAAGCAGCGTATTAGCCGGGCCGCCGCCCAACCATGGGTATAGTACGAAACTAGCAGGAGCGACTTCCCATTAAGGGGTTCAAAATGGTCTGCGTAAGGCCTTATTTGGGCGCTGGCGCCCCGCTGCAGCGGATCATTCCTGCCGTGCTCCGGTTCACATGCTGCCAATGCGCTCCACACTCTGCCCTTAAACTGCTTTAGATCGGCTTTCATAATTTTCTTTCGGGGATAACTATAATACATATTCTGTCCAATAAACTTTACTATACAACTCCTTATCAACGCTTACATGAGTAGTACAAAAATAAATAAGCAGAATGAATTTTTTTTTACTTTATTACAAAGAATAATCTGGCAACATAAACGTTTAACTTGTAACGGAATTGCATTAGGCATGGCTTATTTATAAAAAAATTAAAGCAGTATCAGTCGCTTTCCGTAGGCAGAACATTTACTATAAAATAATTAGATGACTACGAAATAATATAAGGACAAGACACTTGTAAGGATTGAGCTTCAGTTCGTTCTAATAACTATAAGGAATATTATTTGTCAAATAAACGTATATAATACTTCTTATCGACGCTGACACGAGTAGTACCAAAATAAGAAAACAGAATGAAAATTTTTTTAACTTCTTCACAAAGCATCGTCTGGCAACATAAACGTTTTAACTTGTAGCGGAATTGCATTAGCCCTAGCTTATTTATAGAAAAATATACGATGTGCTACAGTTAGCCGCCTGCAGTTGTACGGGAGGGTTTGCGCGTCGTCGTTCACACCATCCTTGACAGGAATTGAGCTCCAGTATCGCCTAGTCTTGCATTCTTGCCACCTTGAACGCTTATTTCGAGGCGCCCGGGATTTGTCAGGCTCTACTGAACAATTAACATATTGTCACTGCAAACCTATCTCCTACAGTTTTGAAGCTACAGCGATGAGACATATACCATTCGATTCTATAAATATCTAGAGATTCGTCGTAGCTTTTTTTCAATTTCGTTATAGTTTTGAAAATATTTCGAAAAAAAGGGAAGGAAAATTGGGGGAAATCTAAAAATTTTCGAAAATTTTGGGAAAAATGCTCCCACATCCACAAAAATTCGAAATTCAAAAAAAGCTACGACGAATCGATAGATATTTTGATTGCGAATCGAATGGTACGTGTTTCATTGCTGTAACTTCGAAAATCTAGAAGGAGATAGATTTCTACAGTACCCCCTTTTTTGGTCGTTTTCTAAGAATTTCACGTTTTCTGTCATTTTTTAGAAAATGGACATAAATAAAAGCTGTCTATTTTTCGGTTTTACATATGTGTACCAAGTTTCAGAGTGATCCGTCTGTAAACAGCCGAGATAAAATTTTGCCCAGACGCTTCCCTTAAAGCAGTACTAGTTACTTTCCAAGTATTGGCAGAACATTTACTTTAGAACAAGTGGAAGAACTGCACGAGGTTGGAGGATTCCAATCGAAATTTTTCAGTTAAAGTAAGTGATTTAGCCATTTCAATAGCAAAAAGTAAGAAAATAGTAGAGCAAGACACTTGTATGGATCGAAGTTCAGTTCTAATTGCTCAAAATTTTCAAATTAACTATCTGTAGATTTACGTTGACTAGTCATTCTTTGACACAATATTCATTCAATGATGTAAAGGAAGGAAGGAAAAAAATACTAGAGAATTTCCTACCAGAACTATAATTTCCTACGTATTTCCTTGAGATACGTTCAAGGAAGAAATACTAGACAATAGTATCGTCCGAAGTTTAGTGCAAATTTGCCCATTTTCAAAGGCATATCAACAAGTTGTATGTACCCAAAGTTAAATTTTCTTTGTCCAGCTGTGGACATGCCATTTCCGACGTCACTGCAGGCCTTTTGGGATCCACATTATTTCACTAAATTTCACTTACCCACTAGAACTTTGTAAACCTTATGTCCCTTGAGGCTTGTTTTGGTGTTCAGTCGCGTGCCATCCCATCCAGTGAAAGAGAAGGTGACCGCGAGGGCACGAGTCATCAGGGGCTTCAGCATCGCCCGAAGTGTCGCAACGAGTGATGCTGCTTCATATTTTCGTAGTGCATCGATCTGAAGGTAGAGGAGAAGCAAAAATATTATTAAGATTAGAGAAAACACGCAATAACCATGCGAGCCCAACAGATGATTTAGCAAAACTGTGCTAACTTTTTGCATTAGTCAATGAAGAAAATAAAGCTGAAAGAAAAATAACAATTAGGAATAAAATATTAGAAACTAGACAGACTGATGCTTCTAGAATCTGGATTAGCAAAATTTTTAACTACAAGAATCAATCATCCATACTTACTATGCCCTCACTAGACAGAAGAGTAGTCAGCTCTTGAAGTGTTGTCGCCGGGCCTAATTCAGGCTCAACGTTGTGTAACCAGGGCTTTTTTATCTGCAGAATGTTGTCGTTTACAGCTTGTTCATTTTCGATGAAGACTTGGCGCTTCTCCATTGCGGCGAGTTGATTACTTACAGCGGACGCCATGCCATCACAAGGCGCCTCAGGCTCAGCTCTGATATATAAAAGAAATTAAACTTACGACCGAGCTAAAACCAACATAGCCATAAGATTTCGGCAGTAGGAAAGAATTTATGCAGTCCACCAATCCTGAAGATATCCTATGTTTATTTGTTCATACTAACGAACCATCAATTTGACAATATTGTTTAAGCTTACGAAGCTTCGCTTCACATATCAAAGAAATGTTCATTCTGTTGACAACTCTCATAGAGTGAATTTTAGTTGGTACTCACAGTAAATGGTTGAACTCGGCTGCAGCATGAAGCTCGAGTTTGCGCCTGGCAGTTGTGGTTGCCCGTGGAAGTGTGCTTAGGGGTTTTCTTCAGTCGACTATCCTCTGTGAAAATTTTCAAATGTCAAAAATCACAAGGAGATGTAGATTTTTTTTATATATGCCAGTAATGCTCCAGTGCCAATTGTGCATGGACCTCGTGCCTGATTTCTAAAAAAAATTTGCAAGGGACCTCGTATATGATTTCTATCCCAGCAGGCATTCGGCGGTTGAATCAACTACCTATTACGACGTTGAGATCGGGGTGAAAGGAGGTTTAGAATGAAAATTGAAGCAACATCTTTCATGAAACGTCGTACTGACGTTACAATGCAACGTTGAATCAATGTTGCTACTACAACGTTGCTGCAACGTTGAATTCTATGGTTGAATAGACGTTGAAACAACTACCTATTACGACGTTGAGATCGCGGTGAAAAAAGGTAAAGAATGAAAATTGAAGCAGCGTCTCTCATGAAACGTCGTACTGACGTTACAATGCAACGTTGAAGCAATGTTACGACTACGACATTGCTGCAACGTCAATTTCTCTAGTTGAATCAACGTTGAAGAACCAACCAGTTATTCGTCCGTAGCATAATTCGAACCCGGGATCGCTGGAGACCGCGCGACGCCTCAGCAACCTTGACCACGGCAGCTCGAGTGCATGAGCAATAAATTAAACTAAAGAATTGTTCGACTCTTTGAAAATTGAAATGCATACTCTGGTCAGTAATCGTTCGCTTATATATACGTATTTCATTCAATGTTCCTGTGATAACATTAGTTACATGCTGGTAAATTGCTAAACATTCAACGTACCGATATCGATCATTTTTCAACGTTGAAATAATGTTGTTTTACGTCCGTTCTAGCTTAGGTCAGATTTCGACGTTGATCGGACGTTTAACAATAAATTAACATTCAACGTACCAATATCGTCGTTGTTTCAACGTTGAAACAAGGTTGTTTTACGTCAGTTCTAGTTTTGGTTAGATTTCGGCGTCGATCGGGCGTTTAAAAATAGATAAACATTCAATGTACCAATACCGACGTTGTTTCAACGTTGAAATAAGGTTGTTTTACGTCCGTTCTAGTTTTGGTCAGATTTCGACGTTGATCGGATGTTTAAATATGAATAAACATTCAACGTACCAATATCGCGTCGTTTCAACGTTGAAATAAGGTTGTTCTACATCCGTTCTAGTTTTGGTCAGATTTCGACGTTGATTGTACGTTATAAAATGAATATACATTCAACGTACCAAAATCGACGTTGTTTCAACGTTGAAATAAGGTTGTTTTACGTCCGTTCTAGTTTTGGTCAGATTTCGACGTTGAAAGGACGTTAAAAAATATATAAACATTCAACGTACCAATGTCGACGTTGTTTCAACGTTGAAATAAGGTTGTTTTACGACCCTTCTAGTGTTGGTCAGATTTCGACGTTGATATGACGTTGTTCAGTTCAGTTAAGTTTGGTTGTTCAGCATTTCAACCCGAAATCAGCCAATAATCAACGTTGTTTCAACGTCAGATGCCTGCTGGGATCATAAATTCACATTGTCATACGAACAAAAATCCCTGTTGAGCCCT